TACTACAACATACCTTTTGCATACACAATATATTTTTCGTTAATGCCTCTACTTTCTTGTAGTTTAAATAATTTATTTATTGTTGTTATTACAACTATATTATACATAGTTGAGGCGCTATTTATCCACAAATTTCTAGTCGGTTTAACAAAAAAAATTCTAGTTGTTGGTATATATACAAATTTTTTCTCTGAGTGTATGAGTATTTTTGAGTGGTAAAGACGTGCTATGTGCGACATCGGTCCAATGCTACGTGCCAGTATCGAGCCAGTATCGAGCCGACACTGATTTCAGATATTCACCCAACATAAAAAAAAATTTTTTTTTTAATTTAATTTTATTTTTTAACTAAATTTGTTTCTTAAGATGCAGTCTATGATTATAAATATTTTCTCGTATTTAAAAACACATATAAAAACACACTTACCTTGGTGGGATTCGAACTCGGGACCTCTAGATCGTGAGCCAACTGCCTTACGTGGTAGACTACTTCTTAATTTGATATAAATGTTATATATAATCTACATATGTCATAACTAGCGCAAATATATAGTTTTTCAAAAATTATCTTAAGAAACAAATTCAGTTTAAAAAGAGTAATAAAATTTTGAATTAGACATATGATATAATATTTCTTAATGTCGGGTGAATGTCAGAAACCATTGCCGGATTATTACGAAATTTTGTGTTCGTAAATATATTTATAAAGTTAAAACATCCTTATCAAATCCTTACAAGGGCCTTATTAAATAAAAATAAGAAAATCTTTCTTATGGAATCTCTAATAAATAATGATCGGGACCTCATTAGGTTAAAATAAGGAAACCTTTCTTATGGCATCCCTAATAACTAATGATCGGGGCCTTATGTTATGAAAGACTATCCCTAACAAATTTTTACACGGGATATTGCACTTATAGAAGCGTTCAATGCAAATTTCTCGCGAATATTTGAATATTACATCGTACCACTTATCTATATTTTAGTGAAGAATAAATAGTTTAAGTACTAAAACATTTAACCCTTACGGTACACTTTGAAAAGGTTTTTAAGTTTGTAGAATAAATGTACTTCAATTTAGAGATAAGGAGGAGATAAGGAGTGGGAGTCATTCAGAATTTATGAGAAATTTTGATGGATAGAAATCGAGCTGACTCTAAATCTCCCTGTATATACCATAAGGGTTAAAATCGGGCGCAATCCGCGGGTATTTTCTTGTGAGTAAAAAAGGAACGTATCGTCACTCATCAATTAAAAAATGAGTATTAAAAACGGACAACTTACTTCGTTCTTATCCTTGTGAGTAAAAAAAGAACGTATTAACGTGTTGTCACTCATCGATTGAAAAACGAGTATTAAAAACGGACAATCTATTTAAAAATACTCATACGCATACTCGCGTATACTCATCATGTTCTTTCGCAGTACTCTGCGCGTGCTTGAGAGTGCAAGAAACGGACACAAAAATGATAAAACGGGCTAAAAACGATCTATATGACGTGTAAAAGCGGTGAAATATTTTTGTAAGGGATTGCGCATGTTACAACGTACGCTTCGTGAATTCGTGTTTCAGAATGGTTTAAAAAAATATTTCAGCAATGAGTAAGTAAAAATTGTAACATCATAATTTCTAAAATACTAGGAAATATAATAATGAATTTAAGTGATGTATAATATTCAAGATTTGTGTGTGTAACATGTATAAAGTATAATATAATTTTTCTGCTAGTATAAAAATGTAATAATTTTAAATTACGTAATGCAACTTATTAGAATATTTATTAATAATAATATCGTTAAATTTTATAGTCCTTCTTATGGAATGGAAGATATTAAAGCTTTCTGGATTTCTATGCAAGCTGCTTATGACGAGCAGGATGTAATGTATTTAAATTTAAAAAGAGACAATGGAGGCTTGGATGACGCGAGAGCATTATCCTGTGATGAATGTTACGCAAAATAAGACTCACTTCATAGTAACAACAGAGAGTACAAGTACAAAGGAAAGCGAAAATGAGTGGTGGATATCTTATTATATCGCAATGGTGATGGAGGAAAGTAATTTTCCTTCATCCAAGTCAATGCGGTATGTTTCGATGAGTATAGATCACTTTGTACATGTGAGTGAAGATTGGGTTATAGTTAATTTACAACAAATAGGTACGTATTAAGTGAGAAATATAATGTGTTTACATACGTTTAGTATGTATACGAGTACATTTTGCATTTGTATTGCTCTATCTTATTTAACAAATGCGAAAAATTCTTGTGTAAAGTCTATGTGCATTTTATGCAATATTTAAACATAGCATGCAAAATACTGTATAGGATAACTCGGGGGAATACGCCACACTTAACAAAAATTTGATTTTTTAATTTTTCTTTCTCTTTGAAGTTTTTTTGCATACTGGTCTCCTTTTTCCTTCTTTTATCTGTCATTTGTACATGACTTTAATCAAATATTTTAATTGCTTACCTACTATTAAAAAGAAAGAAGTACAAAAGTGTTGCAAAATGGCATATTATATCACACGTGCGTGGAAAGTGACCCATTACGCGCGCGTCCATCTGTGCGACAAATAGCCAATTCCATCATCATCATCATCCATTGGCGCTACAGCTCGGGGTGAGCCTTGGCCTGCACTACTATGTCCCTCCACTCATCTCTATCTTCAGCTTTTCTTCTCCAATTGACAATAGAAAGCTTTCTTATATCTCTCTCCAGCTCGTCCCTCCAACGCGCTCTCGGTCTTTCGCGACTTCTCGTCGACATGCACGTTGCCTCGCTTATCCTTCTTGGTGCCCTCTCTGCGTCCATTCGCACCACGTGCCCTGCCCATCTCATTCTTTGCGCCTTTATAAACTTTACTACGTCTTCACCCTCCATCAGATCCAGCAATTCATGATTGTATCTGATACGGTATTCTTGATTCTCGTCTTTGATTGGTCCAAAGATTCTTCTAAGAATTTTCCTTTCAAACACTCTTAGTTTTCCTTTATCCGTGGCAGATATTGTCCACGTCTCAGCATTATAACATAAGATGGGCCTGACAATAGTCTTATATAGTTTCAGCTTACATGCCCTAGATATTAATCTCGATTTAAATATCTTGTTAAGCGAGAAGACTGCTTTATTGGCGTTCATAATTCTATATGCGATTTCATCTTGCATTCTGTTCCTGTCATTGATGTTTGCCCCTAGGTAAACGAAGCTCTTGACTGCCTCGAAATTATAATTACCTATGGAGATGTTTTTCTTTCTTGGCAGTTCCTTCCTAGAGACTCTGAGATATTTGGTCTTGCCTTCATTTATTGTCAGTCCAACCCTTCTTGTCTCTTCTTCCAGTCTCTCAAAAATCTCAACCATTTTGCGCATATCTCTTGCTACTATTGCCACATCATCCGCGTAGGTATATATTTGATACGATTTATTTAATATGTGGCCTCTTTGAAAGAGATTTTTAATTGCACTATGTAAGATACTAGATTAAATATCGTCGCCGATAGCTCGTCTCCCTGCCTCACCCCCGTCATTATGTCAAATGCGTCCGTTGTTGTTCCCTGCAGCAATACTTTCGCCTTCGTGTTCGTCAGGGTCATCATGACTAGATTTGTAAGTTTTTGAGGTATACCAAGGTCAGAGAAAATTTTAACTATCTTTGACCTGTCAATAGAATCAAAAGCTTGCCTGAAGTCAATGAAAAGCATATGCAGGTCAATTCCATATTCTGTACATTTTTCAAGTGCTTGCCTGATTGTGAATATATGATCGATAGTGGAGCGGTTTGGTCTAAATCCACATTGGTAATCAGTTACCTTTTTTTCCACGTAATCCTTAAGCCTATTATTTATGAGCTTTGAAAGTATTTTATATGTTACATTAAAGAGAGTTATTGGTCTGTAGTTATTACACGCCGCTCTTTCACCCTTTTTATGTATTGGTATTATGATATCTCTAGCCCACTCTTCAGGCATATTCTCAGACTCCCATATATTCACAATAAGGTTATATATTTTCTTATGGCAAGTCTCTCCCGCGTGCTTAATTAATTCCGCCGTTATTGAGTCCTCCCCGGGAGCCTTCATATACTTCAATCCTTTTATGGCTTTGCAGAATTCTTCGTAGTCAGGCAGATCGCTTTCTTCATCATCGCAGTTGTCATTGCTGGTGTTATTTGGCGCTGCCCTTTCTTCCATCTCTTCATCTCTTCGGCTAAAAATATTCTCATAGTACTCTTTCCAACGGTTCGCAATCTGTTTTTCTTCTGTTAGCATCTTTCCACGTTCATCTTTTATGTTAAGTAGTCTGGGTTGATATCCAGTCTTCTCCTATCTAGTCATCTCATACATTCCACGGATATTACGCTTTTCATGCAGTTCATTGATTTCCTTCAGTTTTTTATTCATCGCTTCCTTCTTCTTAAGTCTGCAAAGCTTTTTCGCTATTCTTCTTTCCTCTTTATAGGCTCTTCGTGCTCCTCTGGTATTTCTTTGTAGCGCCGCTCTCCTTGCTTCATTTTTAGCCTTTATCGCATTTCTGCACTCTTGATCGAACCATTCCTCATTACGACCGCGCTGTTTTTCTCCGATAGCTAATTTCGCGGCTTTAGTGATTGCTTCCCTTATGGCTTCCCATGTCCGTTTTATGTCCTCTCCACTTTGGGACTCCTCATTTATTTTCTTCCTAAAAGTATCCCCTACTACTTTTTCAACTTTTAGTCGCCCTACGTCCCATTTTAGTCTCTTCTTCCTTTTATCTTTATTGGAGCCGAATATTTTCTGCCTTACCTTGACCTTTACAAGGTAATGGTCACTATCACAGTTTGCATGTCTGCACACTCTGACATCAAGAATGCTAGATCTTCTTCTTCTGTTTACGAGAACATGATCTATTTGATTTGTCGTTCTTCCATCCGGTGCCCTCCAGGTTCCCTTGTGTATATCTTTATGAGGAAAGGATGTGCTCATTATTCTTAAAGCTGTACTCTCCGCCAGCTGACACAGCCTAAGTCCATTAGAAGATGTTTCGTCATGCAGAGAATGCATGTCCGTGACTGTCCTTACAAAATCCTCTTTCCCTATTTTAGCATTAAAATCTTCCAGTAATACCAATGTGTCGTATTTATTTATGCTCTCGCAGGTTCTTTCTAGCATATGATAAAATAGCTCCGTTTCCTCCTCCTCACTATCCTCCGTGGGCATATATGGGTGTTTCTACGTAAATAGCGTTTTTTCAGATTGCAAATCTCTCAATTTCAAACATACCTAAAAAAAATTTTTTTTTCCTGTTTTTGAGTGAATATAGAAGCAGAAACATACCCTGAAAGCCAGCGTACTACAACATCAAAAACCTGAAAGTAATGGCTTATTCATCAGTGATCTGGTAAAGTGCGGTAATGAGTCGACTTTGCATGTCTAGTAAAATATTGAATTACCTCAACAATGAGTGATTTTGAGAGGAAATGTCAAAAAAATTCCTAAAATTACTTATTTCCGAGATAAATTCACAATTAGCAAAAAATTTAATTTGATAAATGCCGGTTTACCATTTTTGACACATTTTCTAGAGCGACTCCACATCGTGGAGTCGCTTTTTTAATCATCTGTAAATATAAAAATCATTTTATTTCAACGTTTTTTACCGTGTTTGATTTTATTTCAACGTCAAACCCATGAATGACCAGGTGAATGACATGCCAGTAGACTAACATTTCATGGTTGAATTAATCTCACTTTCTCCTGAATTGACGTAAACCAATTTCCATTAAAAATCAAGTTTAGCCTACCGAATATCATCAGAATTTTACCACTAGAAGGAAAAATTTACTGCGATATAATAAAAAAAGATGTGCCAGGCAAATGACGCGTAATTTTATGACATACCTTTTCTCAAGTGAAATACACGATTACGATTGTATCACGCTCAAAACAACCAACCACCAACAATGTAAACAACACACCTGATGTCCAATTCTTGAAATCTCCACACCAGACTCCCATTGAATCGATGCAACATAGCGGAACCGCGGTAAAATTCAAAATGTGCAATTTTACTCCATATGTCCGGACCAAGTTTGAAGCCGGTTTTTTCGGTTCCAAAGGGAGATTTATGTTTAATAATGATGTTAAAATCTTAGTTCTATATTATGATTGAATGAACATGGGAAATTTTTAATTGAGTTTGCAATTGGAGGGAGTAAGTGTAACTGGAATAGAGAATTTTCGACAATGGACAGGCCAGGTAACTGACATTTTTAGGAGTTTCTGTATGTTTCCATTGGATAAGCCACTCCCCAATTAGCAGATTATTGTGCGATACTTCAAATACGATGCAGTAGTGAACTTTCACAACGCTTGCTTACCCTCCTCTCAATCATGAACATATAACAAGCTTGGACAGTAAAAAACGCTATTTACGTAGAAAGGTTATTGAATTTTCTTTTTACCCTAAGCTTACAGATTCTCTCACTAACTGGCTCAAATCCCAAGATCTTGTTTTTCATATCCTTATTTACCCAGAAACCTGTTCCTTTCTGACCAGCCTTATTTGGGGTTCCGCTGTAGTAGATCGCGAACTCCTTCCTCTTTATTTTCCCGGCATCCTTCCACCTTACTTCCTGTAAGGCTACGATATCGAAGTTAAACTTGCTGCGCTCCTCAGCCACTTTTTTCATTTTTCCAGCCTGTAGCAGAGTTCTTACATTCCATGTTCCAAGAGACAAGACATTTTCCTTTTTTGAGTTCCGGGTTTGGTTTACCAAAAATCCGTCCGTCATCCGAGGCTGTAGTAGTGTGCTCATAACAATATTATTTCGCTAGGTGGGTTGTCAGCCCAACGCTAACTAGACTCTGTATTTAAACCCCCAAAGTCAGGGTGACTCAGTTATTTCCCCGGCACTGGGCCGCCAAAGCCTCTTCTGCGAGAGCAGGGACCACCGAGTCATCGACGGCAGGCGAGGTTGACATTTGGCTCGTAGAGGCTATATATTACGCATCACGAACCCTTGGTCTCCTAGCCAATTCCATACACGAGTCAAAACAGTGCGGTAATGTAACATTACCGTACTGTTTCGACTCGTGTGTGGAATTGGCCATCCGTCGCACAGATGACGCGCGCGCAATAATGGGCCACTTTCCACGCACTTTGTAATATAAAATAGGGTGTGTAACACGTGCGGGTTGAGAATTGTACACGCGTGCGGGTGATCGCACTCGCCTTCGGCTCGTGCGTCCACTCCGCACTCGTGTCCAATTCGCAACTTCCCACACTTGTTACACAAATAACTATTACCCAACCATGTAGGTAATATGCCACATAGTATAAAATAATATAAGGGAGACCGGTGCTAACTCGACACTATTTTTTCAAAAACAATTTTTAATATTTAATTAAAATTTTTAAGCAAATTTAATGGTATATATTTAAAGAGTGTTCCTTTAGGTACAAAATTGATTCAAAAAGTTTTGCTGTACGTCGCTTTGTTTTGCCGCTAGGAAAGGAAAAGTGACGCGAAGACAAATTTTTGAATTGAAAAATGCCGGGGTAAACTCGACACTCCGCCGGGGCAAACTCAACACTTTGTCTGATCGACACAATTTGATCTGGAACTTATTTTTTACTGTCTGAAAATGAAAATACATTATTTATTGTGTATTTAAAAAGTACAAAAATTCGGAATAAAGTAACGAGAACAATCATTTAAAATAATGAGAACAAAAATTGTTGAACTTTCAATTATCTTCATCTAAACTCATGTCTGAAAAACAATTAATGCAGGTAAACTCGCGATCGGACGTGCGCATACATTTGTCATGAGCCATACGGCTGCATAATAAGCATCGTTTGTTACTGGGAACCGACGAAACGGTGCGCGGCGTGGTGTTGACTTTGCCCCGGACGTCGTTTTTCACTTTTGTCACTTCAAAAACATGAAAATTTTAAAAATATCCAAAAACGATTATCGGATCCCCATATAGAGTATCAAATTTCCCATGAAAATCACTTACATATGGGTTTGCAAGAGTAAAGCTCGATGAAAGAGTAGAAATTTTCGAGATCAGAAAAATTACTTTTTACCATCAAAAACGCTTATGTCGCGCTAAGAATTACACCATAACTCAGAAGTCATCAAATCCCGTTGATAGTACTAGCACATAAAGACGCATTTACAGTAGGAAAGACAAGTTTCTACGATAGATTTAAATTAGCAAAAAGTCTAGTGTCAAGTTTGCTCCGATGTCGAGTTAGCCCCGGTTTCCCCTACTACATACAAATATGTAGTAATTTAACTTCAAAAGTTACTTTATTTATAAAAACAGTACAAATAGTCTTTAAAATAAGTCAGTATAATCAGTACAAATAGTTTTTAACATAAAAATAAAATTTTAAAATTAAATTGTAATGTTAAAATTATTGTAATATTGGATTGTAACAATTAAAATAAAAATAATTTGTTAAGATTAGTTCAGGATTTGGTAGATTAGTTACCAATTTCTGTAAAAAAAAAAAAAAAAAAAAAAAAAAAAAAAAAAAAAAAAAAAAAAATTACTAAAATTTCTATAACTCAAAAACTGATTAATTAAATTTTAAAAAATTATGTATGAAATAAAGGTAGAAATAATTGAAGAATATAACAGAATTAATAAAAACTGCTAATAATAAAGAGGTTACCAATTTCTGTTTAAAAAAAATCTACGTGATTGCTCTAATTTTCGCAAATTTTGAGATATCAAGCCAAATACAACACCAATCTATCTTTAATGATACTTTATTTATAAGAAAAAGTGTGCAAGTAGAAACTTGCACATTGCTTCCTCAAAGTTTTTAAGTGTGCAAGTAGAAACTTGCACATTGCTTTCTCATATTATAGTTTTTAAATGTGCAAGTAGAAACTTGTGTACATTGCTTCCTCATAGTTTTTAAATGCGCAAGTGGAAACTTGTACATTGCTTTCTCATAGTTTTTAAGTGTGCAAGTAGAAACTTGTTTAAGTGAGCAAGTAGAAACTTGCACATTGTTTTCTTATAGTTTTTAAGTATGCAAGTAGAAACCTGTATAGTATATTGCTTCTTTTATAAAAAAGCCTGTTTTTTTAATGCATAATTATTAGTAGATATTTATTAATTTGGCTTTCTCACAGAGGAAGCAATGTATAGGTTTCTAATTGCACACTTAAAAACTATAAGAAAGCAATGTGCGAGTTTCTACTTGCTCACTTAAACAAGTTTCTACTTGCACATTTAAAAACTATGAGGAACCAATGTGCAAGTTTCTACTTGCACACTTAAAAACTATGAGGAAGCAATGTGCAAGTTTCTACTTGCACACTTTTTTTTATAAATAAAGTATCATTAAAGATAGATTGGTGTTGTATTTGGGTTGATATCTCAAAATTTGCGGAAATTAGAGCAATCACGTAGATTTTTTTACACAGAAATCGGTAACTTTTTTATTATTAGCAATTTTTATTAATTCTATTATATTCTTCAATTATTTTTACCTTTATTTCATATATAATTTTTAAAAATTTAATTAATCAGTTCTTGAGTTATAGAAATTTCAGTAAACTTTTCTGTTTTTTTTTTTACAGAAATTGGTAACTAATCAACCAAATCCAGAACTAATCTTAACGAATTATATATGAAATAAGGGTAGAAAAAACTGAAGAATATAATAGAATTAATAAAAATTGTTAATAATAAAGGAGTTACCAATTTCTGTTAAAAAAAGCAGTCAAGTTTATTGAAATTTCTATAACTCAAAAACTGATTAATTAAATTTTAAAGAATTATATATAAAATAGGGGTAGAAAAAACTGAAAAATATAATAGAATTAGAAATAGATCGATATCTCAAATATTGAGAAAGCTATAGCGTAAACACGCTTTTCTAAAAAATGAAAATCCCCTTAAAATCCGTACCTGCCGACGGATTTTAATAAAATTGGAGGAGAACATACTTTCTATGATACTTTATTTGTGTGCAAAACTTCAACTCGGTATCTAAAAAATTGTAGAAGTATAGATGCATGTACAAAAATTCGTACACACACACATACATACATACTCCAGACATTTTCTACTAATATAATTTCTCGAATATTAGAATTAAACAGGCAATAAGAGCCAAGCGTGGTTACAACCGCTAAAATTTATTACATGTCAATAAAGTGTCAATTACAAAATTACGTACGTTTCGACCCTTTTTTTGGGTCATCCTCAGCGCGTTGTGTACACATTACATCCCTGGTAACCATATCCGATAGAAAACGATTAAAAACGGCTATATCTGTATCGTTTTTAATCGTATCTTATCGGTTCTATCGTTGCATATTTAGAAGACAGATAAAACATTAATCGAATCGAATCGGTTTCTATCGTTTTAGGTCCGAATAAGAAAATAACTATACAAATTTTATAGTTATGAATCGTTTTCTATATGTACAATTATTGCCCGTCTGAATCAATCGTATATACACGATATAATATGTATCGTTATTTATGGTAATAATTTTACCGTATGCATTAATACAGATATATAAGAATAAAATGATAGACATCTTATCGATATTTATATGACTTAACCGAACCGATACATCTATCGTTTCTTATCAGGATTTTCTGACATACAACTTATCATCTTTTTTATGGCAGCAAATCGGTTCGTTTTCTATCGTATATTAATGATATAAATTGAATCGTTTGAAAACCTTCTATTTTGTATATGTTTGTATAAAGTTAAAACGATATAATAGACATCTCGTCGATATTTATACGACTTAACCGAACCGACAGATCTATCGTTTCTTATCAGGATTTTCCGACATACAACTTATCATCTTCTGTACGGCAGCAAATCGGTTCGTTTTCTATCGTATATTAATGATATAAATTGAATCGTTTGAAAACCTTCTACTTTGCATATGTTTTTATAAGGTTAATACGATAGACATCTCGTCGATATTTATACGACTTAACCGAACCGACACATCTATCGTTTTTTATTAGGATTTTCCGACTGACAATCATCTTCTGTACGGCAGCTAATTGTTATCTATCGTATATCAACGATATTAACCGAATTGTTTAGAAGCAGCAGACGGAAAAAATTTTTATAAAAATCATATTTTGTGAATACCCAGACAGCACCAAGTCCAAAATCGGGACATAACACGTCTTTTAGATGCTTTTTAGACGTCTTATGTCCCGCTTTTGGACATGCGTGCTGTCTGGGTATTCATAGAAATTTTTCGATTTTCATACATCTAATAATTCAGATATATGAAAAACTATGAATAACTACAATTTTTTATACTTTTTCACAGAAAGCTATGGATTTTTATGAAAAATTAAGTTGAATATACTAATTTCTACGCGTGCTGTTTTTACGCCAGAAGAGCTGAATCAATTTTGATACTTTTTTATTAGAAAATTATGAAAAATAATTTTAACTATATATGTTAGATAAACTTTCACGGAATTTTTAATAATAAATTAAACCCCAGTCTGTAATTAATCTTAATTTATTAAAAATATATTTTATATAAGTGTACAAATATGAAGAATTATGAACAGATACATTTTGTTTTTTTAACTGATAATTAAAGTAATATATTAATATATAGTTATAATGTTTCAAATTGGTTCGGCATTGTACAAAAAAATTTGTCACATTTTATTTCGACGACCACAAGTTTACGTTTTATCAGCTGAATCGGAATTATTTTTTCATCTTGTGCTTCGCTAGTAACTTGTAACATATGATTTATTCTTAATTGATTATAGACCGCAGGCATGGTTGTCAGAACTTTACAAACGACAAAGCAACATTTATTTACAATAATAAAATTTAATATTTCGATAATTGTATCATCGTCTAATTGTACTACAGAGAATCGTTGGTTTTAATAGTTTTACTGTAGTGGAGCACAATTCCGCTAAATATGCACCTTTCATATACATGTACCTCTTTATTATTCATGAAATTCTTCTAATAGTTACTATGACACTTTAACAAGCTATAATATTTATCCGCATTTTGTACTAATTTTGGAGCACCTGAAAAGCACCTCCCAAGTATTTTGCAACGTGAGTTTCTCATAGAATACCGTAAATAAACGATTCACTAATTATATTAAAAACGATAGAAACTGATATATAGCTGATAAGATATTTACGATAAGATTCCAAGTATTTTGTAACGTGAGTTTCTGATAGAGTACCATAAATAAACGATTCACTAATCATATTAAAAACAATAGAAACTGATGTGCAGCTGAGAAGACATTTACGATAAGATTCCAAGTATTTTGTAACGTGAGTTTCTGATAGAATACCGTAAATAAACGATTCACTAACCGTATTAAAAACGATAAGAAATTTTTTTATCGTTTTCTATCGGAGATGGTTACCAGGGTTCCCTTATTAGTCTTCTCACCCCTCTGCCCGTCGGGAAGTGAATTCCTTCGTCGGCTCGTAGTTTGTTCCTCGACGTCCATCGTAGAGTTGCCTTCCATAAATTTCTGAAAGGCCGTATCAAATTGTTGTTCCGTAACATCGACTCTCTTTCGTTTATACGTATTTCCGGATGTTTCGTCTTCGGGAGCTCGCGGGTTACCGGGCTTCAACAAGGGATCTAAAGGATCCGCCATGCAAACACTTCTAATATATCGAAAAGATTTTTAATAGCTCCCCCTCCGAGAGGGGAGCGTAAAAGCAACAAACAAAATAAGCGGCCTCAAAAAGAAAGCCAGTCAGGCACTAGAAGCAAACTCCCCAGTAAAACAGGTACGTCGCATCTGCGTCGAATCTACGTAATACGTGGATGGAGATTTATCTACGAGTTATCCACGTAGATTCAACGTTTCTTTTTCATCGTCAAAATCGAAGAACCTTATTCGCGTGGATTCAACGTTTCTTTTCTATCGCTAAAATCGATGTACCTTATCCACGTAGATTCAACGTTTCTTATCCATCGCCAAAATCGAAGTACCTTAAAATTATCCGTGTGGATTCAACGTTTCTTTTCTATCGCCAAAATCGAAGTATCTCATCCGCGTAGTATCAATGTAGATTTTGCGTAGATATTTTCACTGTTCTACTGACAGATAATTTATCAATCTCAGGAGACATTGATGTTGTTAATCGCAATTAATATAGCTAAATGGAACGTTTTAATGAATAATTAATGAAAATGATAGTAAGACATTTTAAAATTAAAGAATTTTATTATGTCGTAAAAATACAAAAGTTATGTGTTATAATAATAATCAGTTTTTAAACTGAATTTGTTTCTTAAGATGATTTTTTAAAAATTATATATTTGCGCTGGTTATGACATATGTAGACTATATATAACACTTACATCAAATTAAGAAGTAGTCTACCACGTAAGGCAGTTGGCTCACGATCCAGAGGTCCCGAGTTCAAATCCCACCAAGGTAAGTGTGTTTTTAAATTCGAGAAAATATTTATAATCATAGACTGCATCTTAAAAAACAAATTTAGCTATAAAATAGTAATAAAATTTCGATAAAAATAATTTTTTTATGCCGGGTGAATATCGGAAATCAGTGTCCTCTAGTATTAAGAGGTTTTACTTTATTTCAATGAGACCAGATAATTCAAGATACGTCTCACTTTCACATAAGTGTCGCATTACCATACAAGATACATTTTCGTCTAAATAATTATTGTAAGATAGAGACGTTTATATATATATATATATATATATATATATATATATATATATATATATATATATACAATATCAAGAAAGGGATCCATTCCGATTAATTGGTTTATTATTGACATTGTTTTTAATACAGCTGAACTTCTTGTAACCAAAAAGGGAAAGTTTTTATGTCATATATGCATGTATTACACTTAATTCAAACTGCGTTTAGCTATTCTGTTGTACGAATACTGGTAAGGTTTTGTGGCAGTTTTCCTTACCCTTGCAACAAATGTTGGTATTCATTGAATTTCTGCCATTTAAAAGTTTCTTTCAATAAATAAATCACGGTACACAAATTTCTCTCTCCATACACGGTTTCGTTATATTTGTTCCTTTCTCATCTAAATCACGAGGCCAGGCTCGTGCGCGAGCTTGTTTTAAACAACTTTACTTGTATGTTCACAATGACTTTACTATGTACGTTTCAGTTATTTGGGAAGGTTATGTCTGAGTATCGCTGTGGTAATTCACGAGTGTTTCTGCGCGCCGCGAGATATCGTTAAGATCATGTGAGAAATAAGAGGACTCTAGTGGAAAAGACATACAGAATGATTGGGGAATAAGGAGAGTGTTGGCAATAGTCGTGCGGGAATGATTCCCGAACTCATTCCCGCACCGCTTCGAGTGGGGGAAATCTCAAGTGTGGAATTGGCTATTTGTCGCACAGATGACGCGCGCGGAATGGGCCACTTTCCACGCTTTCTTTGATGACGACAGACCAAATACGCCGCCGCAAGTAGACAAAAACATAAATGAGTGCGGCCCAGAAATTACCAAGGACGAGGTTGTCCACATAAAAGAAAAACGGAAAAGCCACTGGCCCAGACAGCGTATATGCTGAAGTCATCAAACTGATAGCCGACCGATAAGAGACTAGATTTACTGATCGCACTTTTCAATGCGATTTATAGATCAGGTAATATCCCTTCCGACTGGTTGAAATCAACATTTATTACTCTGCCTAAAAAGACTCAGGCCTCACGCTGTGATGACTATCGCATGATTAGTCTCATGTCTCATGTTCTAAAAATGTTCCTTAGAATAATTCACACCCGAATCTTCAGGAAATGCGAGTATCAGCTGGATGAAACCCAATTCGGATTCAGGAATGGTCTTGGCACTCGCGAAGCGTTGTTCTCCTTGAACGTATTAGCACAAAGATGCAGAGATATGAACATCAATGTATTTGCATGCTTCATTGACTATAGAAAAGCATTCGACTGCGTCAAACATCATAAGATGATAAGAGATCCTCAGAGCGACTGGGAACGACAGAGAAGAAATACGCTTAATCTCAAACCTCTACTGGCAACAAACCGCAGAAGTTAGACTGGAATCAGCAACGTCGGAAACAACTCTCATCAAGAAAGGAGTGCGGCAGGAATGTGTCTTATCACCACTACTATTCTATATGTACTCGAAGGCTATTTTCAAGGAAGCTCTAGAAGGAATTACTGGCGGAATCAGGATTAATGACAGGACAATTAATAATATCAGATATGCTGACGATACCGTTGTGTTAGCAGAAAACATGCATGACCTACAAAACATGATGGATCGCATAGTTCGACACAGTGAAAGCTTTGGCCTCTTCACGAATACTACGAAAACCAAAACCATGGTTTTCTCTAAGACACATGTGCGTGCACATCTAATTATTAAGAGGGCAACTGTGGAACAAGTCTCGTCCTTCAAATATCTTGGAACCATCATGACCACCCAAGGAGCGCCAATGCGCGTATAATGCGCTTTGAATGTACATTAAGGATGTATCACTGGTACAATCTTAGACAAAAGTGCATGAAATTTGAAATACTTGAATATCTACGCCTAACGCATAGTAAATCTAGATGTAAGATACTCAAATGATAGTAGGAGTCTTATTTTTACTCCTACAAAGGTATTTTTTACTTTACAAATGTTTTTTCCAGTATTATTTGCGATTTTTGTAATTTATGAGCCTAAACTTTTGGCAGTAAAAATGCCCTGATTTCAACTTTATAACGTCAAATTATTAATAAAATTAATAATTAATAATTAATAATTAATTGATAATTAATTATCATTAATTATTAATTTATTTCTTTAAAACGGTGTAGTGAAGGCAATTGAAACTTGACAGATAGTTTCATTTATTCGTATACTAGATGTACAAAAAATTCAAAATATTGGTAGCGCTCCTTCAACATTTTTTTAGCTGTTTTATCCGTCAAAATCGTCTCTTCCCATAAAAATATGTGTAAAATCAGTGAAAATTAAAATCGTTATATCTCAGCAACCGTTTAGTGGATTCGTTTCTACTTTTTTTGTAGCACATCAGGAAGACTAAAAGAACATTCTCACAAATTTTTATCCACTTGGTAGCGCTTTGAAAATAGGTGCAATACATCCTTAAACTTTGCATTAAATGCGGTGTTGGACCTTGGCGAGAGATTATACTTGTGTAGGAGATTCGAAGGATGAGATGCTTGTAGAATAAGAACTCTTTATTAAGAACGTTATATGTAACCGCGCTCTTGTTCGACTGACCCTCTCGACCGGGGAAGAGAAGACAAGGTAGCATACAAAAAAAATAAAGAAACATCGGCATCGGCCAGCGCATGGCAACCACAACGGCCGCTCTTACATAGAAACGCTTACATAGGAACGCTTACATAGGAACGCCTACATAGAAGCACGACTAACTGCTCCAATACTCCCACCGTTTGAGTGCTTCGCTACAAGGGAAACCATACCCAAACTTTCACGCAAGATTTCAAAGCGCTTTTTCGGCAGCGCTTTTGTTAATATATCGGCGCGTTGCGATTCCGTTGAAATGTACTCAACCCTTATCATCCCTTCCTCAACTTGTTCTCGAATGTAATGGTGTCGGACGTCAATGTGTTTAGTTCTACTATGAAATTCCGGGTTCTTTACCAAGCGTATAGCTCCTTGATTGTCAACATAAAGTACTGTAGGTTCTACGCATTGACACCCGACATCATTTAGTAATCTTCTCAGCCACGATGCTTCTTTTGCAGCCGCCGCTGCTGCAATGTATTCCGATTGCGTTGTACTCAGTGAGACTGACTTCTGACGGTGTGAGGACCACGTAATTGCACCGTTAGCTAGAATAAATGCGTATCCGGTTGTTGATCTTCGTGTACCAACATCACTTGCATAGTCGGCATCGGAAAAACCCGTGAGTTGAGAACCGTTCTCGCTACTACAATACTGAATACCAAAATCTATTGTTCCGACTAAGTAGGAAAATATTCGCTTTACAGCCTGCCAGTGACTATTATTATGGCTGCTTAGGTATCTACTAACATTATTTACTGCATATGCAATATCTGGACGTGATACACTGGCTAAAAATATAAGAGAGCCTACAGCTTCACGATATGGAACATTAATTAGTTTTTCTCCATCTGACTCGACTGGCGCTAAGATTGCATGTGGATCCATCGGAACACTGATCGCTTTTGCTTCGCTCATGCGAAATTTCTCGACAATCTTCTTAGCATACAACGTTTGGTGAATAATTAACGATTTACTTATTCTATCGCGATCTATCTGTAACCCTACAAAGTTACGAGCATTGTCGAGCGTTATCTCGAACGACTTATTAAGCACATTCACAACAGAGTCTATTGTTTTTTGTTCTTTCGCTGCAATAAGTCCGTCATCTACGAATAGCGCAAGATAGACAACCAGATCACCGATATTACCGCGAAACACACATGCATCCGCCTCGGACTCCTTAAAATTAAAGCACTTTAGAAAAGTCTTAAACTTTCGGTTCCAACACCGTGGTGCTTGCTTAAGACCATATAAGGCTTTTAGCAATTTACAGACCACATCACTATACACGTTTTTTCTCTCGATGTCATCAAGGTCGAGCCCCTCCGGAACCTGCATATAGACGTCTTCCTC